AACAAAATTCGTATGGACCCATTAAGTATGTTTTGGCTGAGCCCATAAGAATTTTAGGAACGCCAAAATTTATAGGAGACTGAATCATCTTATTGTAACTTGTCATTGCTACTGGTAATTAATGTCTGAGGCCATACCGTAGCAAGCTCGAGGCATAGAATAAAATAAAATATTATTTATTTTTATTATTGCCACAGGCTTATATATACGGTAAACTTGATCAGATTGAATACGAAAGAATATTTTGTTTTTTACTTTTTAAATGGGTTTTTGAGACAACCAGTAAATCAAATAGTTGAGATGTGTTCATCCTATTTCGTTTAAGGCGATGAAGGACTGGTAATGCAATTTTCCCACAATAATATGGTCACACCTCATACGTCTGATTTACTGGTAGTCTCGAAAAGCTACTCGAAACAAAATATGAGTAAGCTCGTCGATTGCTAAGGCAAATACAACTTTGCTTCATCAACAATCCCACCACAGAATGTGATGTGGAAAAATGTCTGGCCTTCCTTGAAATGTACATCTGCTCGGTGACGCAAGAAGCCCATGGCAAAGTGGCGCAGTGGTGAACAGACCGAGATTGTACGCTGCACCCTCGTGCTTTGAGTCTCACTGGTGGTATTGTAAAAACCTAGCCGAGGTCGAAACTGTTGTCCAGCCTGGATGAGAATACCCTTTGTGCAATTCAATTGAAACGTAAGGCCTATGTATAGTATAGGAAAATTCAACTACCACCACTGCATTCCCTGAGCGAACACATCTCATAAGTATTTTCTTACTGTTATTATTGTTTCACACAATTTCAATAAAGAAAATTATGTTTTCTTGGCCGCCTGCACTTTTTGGATGGCCTACTCAGGTTAATTTGTCATTTAATTCTGTCCAAGGCCAAGAGGTCAGCAGGAATTAGAGCTCACCGATGTGGGCTAAACTTGAGATAATAACTTGGTACCTGTCTTCTGACGGCTAAAAAAGATGAAAGATGTGAGAATGTGACCATAAAGCATACAGAACTGTTGGATATTAATAAGGGGGAAGTCTGTAAGCTTTTTTCATTATGAAGGAGAATGAGCAGGGAGGAATTATGGAGATGGGATAAAAAAGACGGCATTGTTGGAGTGCTGTGGCCAGAGGTGGGAACTCCAATGGAGGCGATGTAACAAAATTAACCGTTGTAATGTAAAATAGCAGGGATGCCTTACACCGTACTACTACCGGTGAGCACATACTACTTGTCTGGCCATTTGCAAATATCGTTATCACCCAATTGTCTCGATTAACAACTGTTCTTTTGTCAGCAGTTTGGATCCCATGTCTTGCCCATTTAAGTTATGTTATTTGTCCTTGATTTCATCGTCTAATTTCAACACACCAACTAGGCAAGAAACACAAATGTTGCCTCACTCAAGTGGCGCTAGGATAGGCGCTACCACAAAATAGTACCATTTTTCATGGCACCGCCGACATCATCTTTATCTGCACGACTGCGTCATAAATGTCTACTAAAACAAGCGATAATGGCACGTATGTGTGTCTGAGGCAAATGTGTGTGCAGGAAAGCGAAAGTCTCTGAGCTTACTGGATGCGGCTAGAGGTCCTGTATGATGCAGTTCACACATGCCGATGACCTCAAAGCTGGGCTCGACCCCTCTTCACACGAGACGTCTAGAAGTGTGCATTCGTGAACTCACAGCCCAAGGCAACACCACTGTTGCCATATGTATCAGGGTTTTTGGGACACTTGTAGCGCCAATACAACCATACAGGAAGGAGAATATCTTGGGCTTTAGGCTGACCTTGAAAAGTACAATAATTTTTTATGGGAATTCAGGCAGCAACTTGCCGGAGTTTATATAAAACGGCTGATATTAAAAGGACATATTTGACGGGCGTCCATGCTGCAACCAACCAACGCAGCAGCACTAAAGGCTAATTGGACACCCTCTCAGAGAGTGAAGTGTGTGGTTGAAGCGCAGACTAATGTACCATTTAGATCACAAATGAACGGTCTAGGAAATAAGAAAAACATTTTACCCATTGCGCCTATTTCCCTGGCTCGATATCGCCAAGCTGCAATGTTGTTGACAGGTCTCTTCTGCCTTTTAGGCAAGCCAATCCAATGCTGGATCCCACAAGAGTTCACTCGCGGTTGGGAAGAGTATGCGGAGAACTACTGCTGGGTGTCGAACACGTACTATGCCCCGGTGCGCGGAGCTCTGCCACATGTTCCCAACCGCGAGCTCCTCCTCATCGGCTACTACCAGTGGGCTCCCATCGTGATGGCCATCCAGGCCTTGCTCTTCTACCTGCCCTGCCTAGTCTGGCGTCTCTTCATGGCCCATTCCGGCTTCAACGTACGTCGCATCCTTCAGATGGCCTGCGACTCCAACGTCCTCCTGCCCGAGCACACGCTCAAGAATGTCCGTTTCATCGCTCGCTACATGGAGGGCTGTATCTACCGGCAACGCGACTATCGCAAACAAGCCGCTCTCGCGGCTTCCGCACTCACGGCCGGTGGCTACACCGGCGCCACCGCAAGCATGTACGGAGCAGCTGGTCTCGGCGCCGCCGGTACCAATTGCTCCGGTGCCACGTACGCCAGAGGCCAGCTAATGGCCGCCAGCAATGCACACTCACATGCCCACCTACATTCACACACACACACGCATGCACACACACATGCACATCCTCCTCCTCCGCCGCCTCCCCTGCTTTCAGGCGCCCAGAACAGCCAGCACCCGCATCATCACCACCATCCGGCAAACATGGTACACGGCGTTCACTACCATCAGCAGGCCCCTCCGATTCCCCACCACCCGCAACAACCGCAACAGCAACAGCAGCAACAGCACCATCACAACAGCAACCCATACAACCCATACAACCTGTTGCCACCACCACCGCCGCCACCGCCACCTCCGCCCCCGACGCATCCTCCGCCGCCACAATATTCCACCACAACCGCGGCAGGAGGCTCGTGT